AGTACTTATAGGCCGAGGTTAATCATTAAGCTCATCAATTTTGGCAGCATCTCCGTCTTCACTGGGTCAGTGCTCTACAGTAGCTTGTGCGCAGTCGCTTCCAATTTGTATCATCTCACCCAGACTACTGTTAGGTAGGCTTACGGGCGCCGTGAGGGTGTATCTTGGTCCAAGAAAAGGCCTGCTGACTATATCAGCCATCAGCGCCCTTCAACGATCCCGCCGGCATTGATTAAGTGGCACTGGCCCAGCATCGATGTGTCGGTAGAGAAGGCTGTACCTGCAACCTACAGATTGCATCATCCATGTCTGATGGCACAAGAAGGAGTAAGACGATGCTGTCGTCGTTGTTGCAGCAGATGACTTCTTCCCGATTTGAATCTGTGCGTATACATTATATATCATCTATCAGATACTTGAAGAGAGAGAGAAGGAGGAGAAAGCAGGAAGGAGGGGTAGTGTTATGACTTCTGGCCACCAGAGATGACCTGTGAGTTGAGGGCAAACAAGGCGTCATACGCTGCTGCACACCCATCCCTTCGCAGAGATGACCTTTCCAGATCCCTGCCATACTTTCGCCGACTCTGCCATCTCATCTAACTAGCAGTGGTCGAGTGTCATTTATATGTAACGTACTCGTATGTACTGTACTCGCTCGTCCATCGTTCCATCATCAAGAGGCTCAAGCCCGACGGGCGGCGGTGCCCGCAGCGACACCGGTAACGACGGGTGCGATTCTATCATCCGCAGGCTCGACTTCTTTCTGTCTTCGCAAAGTGACTGTGAGTACTGCTATACTGGGCCAGACACCGCTCCGGATCAGATATGATGAGCATATAGCTGACAAAATATAGGAACTGTGCTTTCTGTCCTATGCTGATGCGTAGACGCACTGCAAATGAATGGCATGCTCGCTCGCTAATCCATCACCGATCTGTCATCGATGCTGTTACTGTTGCGGATTGCGGCGCCAAGATGACTTCGACATGCGGATGAAGTCACTTACTCATCTTCCAGGCTCGAGACTGATTAGATGAGGGTGCTCGCGGGCGTTGTTACTAGACTGATTGCAGGTCACAGATTCATCATGCTGAGCAAGCAGTGACAAAGCCATATCGATCCCGGAGGCTACCAAAGGGACTTTCAAAGGCTGGCAGATGACCAGACATGACCCTTCTTCCATTTTGCCCGGCACTAGTCTGTAGGGACAACTCAGCACAGATCTGGCTAGCTGTTAGCTGTACGATATACGTGGTCGAGAGTCTAGGTGAGCTACGCGTTCGGTCAAGAGGAGGCATTGCGAGCTGACTGGGGGCTGAGCGAGCAGTGCTCTCTAATGCGCTGCTTTCAGGCTGACCGAGGCTATGCTCTCTGCGACGGATCCTGACCAGAAAGATATATAAGAGAACTCACCTTCGCTGAAAGAGAGTCCCATCCCCAACCACACCCACTCCCAACCAACCACAACTTCGTCCGCTTTTTAAGACTCTTAACGATACAAACACTCAACATTATGCGATTTGCTACCGCCTTTGCTGTCCTTGCCGCTGTCGCTGCTAGTACGTTGTTGAGCCACTCTGTGACTTCCTTGCTGATTCCCTTTTAGCTGCAGGCGCCGCTCCCACCGGCAACAAGGGCCAGGAGTCTGCCAGCCTCTCCTTCTCTGGCCCTCCTCCCTCTGGGACTGACGTCTCTGGCCCTCTGACCGACGGCAGTGGTCACCAAAAGCGAGGCGGCCATGACGAGCCTAGTAAGTTCTATCTATAACGTACATGAGTCAACAGGTGAATATACTGACGAATGTTAGCTGCTGGCCAAGAGTCGGCCAGCCTTGACTTCTCGAGGCCCCCTCCTTCTGGTACTCCTCAACAGGAGCGTGGCGATAAGAACGCTCCTCCCCCCGCCGGCGCACCCTCCGGAGCCCATCAACAGCAGCGAGACAACAAGAACGCGCCGCCTCCCGCCAGCACTCCTTCTGGGGCTCACCACCAGAGGCGAGGGGACAAGGACAACAATGGCGAGTCAATACTCTTTGAACACCAGATCCTATGGCTGACTTATTTTCAGGCCCTGCTCCTTCTGGACATGAGTCCGCCGATGTGCCTCCTCCCTCCGGCGCTCCCCAGCAGAGGCGAGGTGATGATAAGAACGCCCCTCCCCCTGCCGGTGTCCCTTCCGGAGTACACCAGCAACAGAGAGACGACAAAAATGCTCCTCCTCCCGTCAACGCTCCTTCTGGGGCTCACCACCAGAGGCGAGGGGACAAGGACAACAACGGTGAGTCAATACTCTTTGAACACCAGATCCTATGGCTGACTTATTTTCAGGCCCTGCTCCTTCTGGACATGAGTCCGCCGATGTGCCTCCTCCCTCCGGCGCTCCCCAGCAGAGGCGAGGTGATGACAAGAACGCCCCTCCCCCTGCCGGTGTCCCTTCCGGAGTACACCAGCAACAGAGAGACGACAAAAATGCTCCTCCTCCCGTCAACGCTCCTTCTGGGGCTCACCACCAGAGGCGAGGGGACAAGGACAACAACGGTGAGTCAATCTCGTGCTTCAAACACCAGATCCTATAGCTGACACTCTTCTAGGCCCCGCTCCTTCTGGACATAACTCTGCCGATGCCCCTCCCCCCTCTGGTGCTCCCCAGCAGAAGCGTGGCGACAAGAACGCCCCTCCTCCCTCGGGCGCTCCTTCCGACGCTCACCACAGGCGAGACGGCCAGGACGCCGAGCCTTCTGGCGGTGCTCCTTTTGGCGCTCCTGTCTCTGAGCTTGGTGATGCCAAAGCTACCGCTGTCGTCCAGTATGCATAGGCGCGGACCCTGAGGCGCATATGAGCTCGCAACTGGCTCTCTGAACAGGTGCTAAGGAATGGACAATTGAATAGAAGAAATCGAAGGAAGCAGACGAAAGAATTGAAATCGTGGAATGAATCACTGTGTTTTGTACTGCAGATACGTTTCTGTCTCTCCTCTCGGCAAGTGTACAATGGCAGCGCTGATACACTGCACTGGAGCATTGCTTCCTCCAATTTAACTGACTCCTCCCTTTTGTCACTCGAGCAAGTCGAAGCCTTTCGGACATATACGCTCACTCTGCACTCGGTCAGCTTATTTCTGGCAGAAGAAAGACCCTCACCAGCACTCTATACCATTACTGTATAACACATGCATTATGATCACCATGAAGCTACCGTCTCCCATCTCTTTCCTCATGAACATCGCTCAACATGCCGGTACCTGAGCAGCGGATTCAAATTTCGTCAAGCTTGCCGGTGACCTCATCGCCGAGAGCGAACGATGGGCCGTTGATTATGAACTACGACAACGGATCGACAGCGATTTCCACATTTCCATTTATCGCCCACGAACTACCTAAACACACTCAGCAGACAATCTACTTGACTATCCGCCTCGACTTGCATCTGACAGACAAGACTCCCGACTCCCAGTAACGCTCAGCACGGTTCCGCCGCCGATACCACGCTATTTATCGATCGCCCTCGGTCTTATCAATTTCTTCTGTTCAGAACGCCTATAACGCCCTAGATTGGACCAAGAATTCTCATACGGAGGTGACATGGCCGGATTATTCCTCAATATGTTCAATTGGCTGAGATCGCTATTCTTTGCCAAACACCTGGAGGTCACAATCGTGGGATTACAGGTGAGTTCCAGCTTCTCTGTCCCAGCCGCCTTTTCGCTGACTAACGACGTGCATTAGGCCAGCGGGAAGACCTCGTAGGAATGGATTCTTCATGCACGCACGGTAAAGCGCTGACCGGTTCATAGTCTGGTGAATGTACTAGGGTCAAACCAGTGGTCCGAAGACGTGGTCCCTACGGTGGCTTTTAACCTTCGGCAAGTGCGGAAAGGCAATGTGACCATGAAGGTCTGGGATGTAGCTGTAAGTACTGAGTTTCTCGGTGCAAAGGGCGGGGCTGACTGGCTGTGCAGGGGCAACCGAAATTCAGGGGTATGTGGGATCGCTACTGTCGGGGGGCAGACGCCATCATGTACGTTTCTTTCTGGACAGCACTTTGAGATGAAAGCTGAATAATACCCTGTAGCTATGTGGTAGATGCGGCAGACGTGAGTCCCATTATACACCCGCATCTAATGACAAGGCTAATTCTGCTCGCGCAGCGCAATTCCATACCGACAGCAACCTCCGAGCTCCATGCCCTCCTTTCACTTTCCTCCCTCCAAACGGTCCCATTATTAGTTCTAGCCAACAAGAATGATCTGGAAGAAGCTTTAGGGGTGGACGAATTGATCAAGGAGATGCGGCTGGGGGAAATAGGTGGCAGGGTTGTCTCTGTGAGTCTCCGTATGAGCTCGTGCATAGGGAAGGTGTCTGAGAAAAGAAGAACTGACATGGCTCTAGTGCTACTCTACAAGCAACAAGACCAAGCACAATCTCGACATTGTGCTCGCCTGGCTCACTCAGAGAGCACATTGATCGCTGGCCTCCCACCTCTCCTCTATTATGTTTAACCATCTCAGCATCGCGATCATTGAATGCGACGGATCCCCCAGAATGGGCGATTGCGAAGCGTTTTGCTTTTGTTGTAAGAATTATGCCTGTTTATCTATTCATGAGCATGGATTAGGAATCACTATTATGACAATGATGGTGGGCGCACTCGTCGCGCACGAACAGAAGTCCTTGCCATTCTCGCGAATGTCTCTCGATCCTCGGTATCTCAATACCATGTCGAGGCTCTTGATATCCTCCGATTTGATAGAATGGGCCACTTCAAACAAACATACACCGATGCAAGTGTTGAGGTAGAACAGCAGCTCTCTGAGCCTCTGTACCGTACGGAGAGTGCTACCATGTACTGACGAGCCTCATATCGGAAGAAAGAAACGGACAGCTACCTTGACCGTACCGTAGAGTATCAGCAGGGAGCTTGAAAGTTCTATGTGTAAGCACCATAGCCATATGCTGACTGAGGATACCTTGTGCATAGTGCAAAAAAGACACAAAAAAACTCTTCTCCGACCGGGATTCGAACCCGGGTCGTCCGCGCTAAATCAAAACCAACAGTTCTTGAAAAGCGGATATACTAACCCCTGTACTATCGAAGAGGCACATGTTGGAAGTGAAGGTTATATGGTAATATCGCTTCATTAGAAAGGATATGGGAAGAAACCCGGAAGAAACGCAGTATCTCTCCCTCTTGATCTTGTGTAACCTGGAAGTGAGCTGCTTATGGCCTCCCGAAAGCTTCAATTATACAAAGATGCCAGGTTTCATGCCATGTACCCAATCTCGTCGTGATATATCGTTGACCGAACCTCTAGGCTAGCAAGGCCATGATCCTTCTGCTCTATAGCTACAGATACAAGGATAGTCAAAGTAGTGATGCTCTGTTCTTTACTTGACCTCGGTTTCAGTAATTCCACAACCAGTCATCAATGTCGTCCAACAGTACTGCACTTCCGACCCTGTGGCCCCTCTTTCCCTCTTCATAGGCACATATCCTGCGCTCTCTCGAAGTGCTCAAACATCGGCCGTTGAGGAGACAGAGTGAGACGCGATAGCCTCGGACAGCGCTCTGGAGGCCTTTACAGGCGGGAAGATCAATCTGTGGGATGGTCAGCCCGATCTTAAAGTAACCGTAAAGACTTACGGTATGCTTTGCGTCACCAACAAAGTCCGTTAAACCCTTCACGCCGTAGACATCGACATCGTCATCGTGAACACGAACATCGCCCGTTTCAAGCGCTTGCCCATCTTCGTCTTCTCGGCCCTTCTTTGGTCGCTCGCAAACCTGCTCAACCTCGACCATCGCAATGCTATTGTCGATCGCCCATTCGATAGCGCGAGAAGAAAGGTAGAATGAAAGAGAGGAAGTGGATGATGATGATATAGGAGCTAGCAGACACTGCCAACTCGTCAGCATGACCCGAGCAGGTATCAAGATTGCACTCACCTGCGGCGGACTTCCAAAACTCCTGTTCGGCCCCGGAGGCGCATCGACAACTTGGCAAATCCCCACTATACTATGCCACCAGCAATCTGTATCGCCTTTGTTACCCCAGCACCCCTTGAAGTTTCTCCAACTATCTTGGCCCTCGTGGTGCAGCTTCAGACGGTCGGTAGAGTTGGACCAGTACTGGACGGGAATGACGCGAGATTGGGTATCCCAGATGGGGCCGAGGTCGTCTGCACTGTCGATGATCTTGAAAAGGTTCCCAATCTGTTGCCTTTATCAATAAAGCTCGACAAGGGGGGGCAAGTAACGTGCCTCGGCATATACATGTTCCCCGGGATCTGGCCATATCCCGTGACTCCCCATAGCCACATACGCCACAGGCCTCTCTCCAACTTTCTCAATGTCCTCCCAGCGGAGCGTACCGGCACTGAGATAACCGCCTTCGTGGGTGCTAAAGTCTGCCGATATGGGCGTGCCGTTCACCGTGCGCATACGAAAGTGCTGCAAGGGTATGTCAGTATTTGTAGTGATTGCCATCGTCTCCTGGTCGGGGGCAACCTACTTCCCAGTCGGCAACATCTAAGCATCTATAGGTCAACGACATTACCAAACAAGGACGTCAGACGACTCACGATTTCCCAGTACACCGAATCTACCAGCCTGCTTGCCAAAGTTGAAGGGGTAGAATGTCCAATACCACAGGTCCTATCGCCCATATCAGATGAGTTTCGCCATTCAATCGATATACCACTTACAACGATCCCTCTCCCTTGGTCCACCCAGAACCCATACACAGGCTCCTTCACCCTTCCCCTCCCGTCTTCCCTGTCAATCTCCATCCCACCTTTCTGCCCCGCGGGCCCGTACAGGTAGTGTGACTCGGCATCGAGCAGAGCCGGTTGCGGGTTGTGGGGCTCGGATATGGATAGATACAATTGAGAGCCAGACAGTGGAAGTGTGTCGAGGGCAGACGGAGTCAAGATGGTGTGATTCTGGCACGTGTATTAGCTGAAGAGGCCATAGCGTGATAACGAGCGCGAAACATACAGCTGGATACGAGTCGCCCGCCACGTTCTCGATCTGCATCGTGTCAGCCTGTGCGCATGAGGTAGCCACCCGTACACCCACATATTCGTAATGCGGTAGCATGTAGTCCACGGTACTGGGAAAGTACTTCTCATTCTTGCTACGCGCATATCGCATCAGTCCCGTTGTCGTGTACCGCACGTCAAACTCAGGTGAACCAAACTCACGAGAGCTTCAGTACAGGAGCATACTTCTCCAGCAGCTTCATAGGGTCATTGGTATCGTTACCATGAGACGTCCAAGAGTCAGATAAACTTGCTGCGGGCGGGGACGCTAGCCATGGAGCTTGTTGCGGATGAAGGCCAAAAGGGGTGGCGAGGACCGGACTGCAGGCCAGAAAGATACCCAGCGCTGATCCATACTGCGTATACGTTAGCGGATGTCAGAATGATGTGATAGACATACCATTGGTGCTGCGCTGCTGATAGAGATGGCGATGGTAACAATGGAGAAGGACATGATGCATCATGCAGCCCGACGGGCCACGAAAGTGGAGGCGCGGCAAGGGCCGACCATCACGTAAGCAGGCCACCACTATACTATGATGCACCGTAACGAGACATATCTTGTACAGTACATGCGCAGCCCAGTCGCTCATGCCCATGTATAGATGTATCACACAACTCTTGGCCGGTGGGCAAAAGAAGGTGGGCAGAAAAGTCGGCTTGGTGCTGGATATGTCGCTATTGCGTCAGGCGCCGTGGTCCTACGAATGAGTGATGTAGTCCACATACAAACGACTTGGCATATGTGATTTACGGTAGTCCAACAAACTACTTGATATGAGGGGAGGGGAGGGGAGGGGAGGGGAGGGTAATAGTCCATGATGTCCGTAATCGAGCCAAAGAGGAGCGAGTCCCACGTGAAACGCAACAGATTATATCACATGGACGTTATCACTTCTTACTCGACTAGTGGGGTATATATATTGGTGAATGTGAGGAGATTGGTAGATGTGACCGAAGAAAGGGCAAAAAACTATGCGGGTGGCGTGCAAGAACTGTATAGAGGTGAGGGTAAGGGGTATGTATGAGAACGACCTCAAGACTCAAGCACGGCGAAGGATAAATGGGAATGGGCGAGGTGAAGACTAGATTGGAATCTCGTGTATAAGAATGATAAGAAGCCATCAGTCTGAATAAGCTCATTGACTGGAAGATGTCAGCAGACGTCGATTGCAGCAGACGCTCGACTCACGAGGTGTTGTTCAAAGCCCAGTCGCGGGCAAAGGTGGAAGCTCGCAGGAACTTCTTGTTGGCGTACTTCTTGTAGACGTAGACAGACTCAAAGTCGGGCTCAACAAGACGCTCGCACAGCAGGGAGGCACCGGTGATGAGCTGAGTCTCGGTAAAGTTGGAGTAGAAGACAAAAGCTTCGTTCTGCGGTCAAAAGTCAGCGAATGGCCGATTGCAAGAGCACAAATACCCACCCAGTCACCACCAAGCATCTTCCTCGCCAAGTACATGCCGATAGCGGCAATCATACTAGGCTTGCACCTCAGGAACCGGTGGTCCAGCAAAGTGACCTCCATGAGGAACTTGCTTAGTGTTCGAGTTTGCACGTCATAGTCGTCGGCCTTGGAGATACGTCGGACCCAAGAGTAAGGGGAGCAGTAGGATGAGACGGTAAAGTCGAGGGTCTGGAGAATGATACGCTCGCCCTTGAGAATCTCGTCCTTGGTGTAGCCGTTCTCGGTCATGTAGACAAACTCGTCTACTGAAGGCGCGAGAATCTCTTCGTACTTGGCAGCGATAAACATGGCGGTAACACCGACGAGCTGAAGCTTGACGAGAGAGACGACTCGGACGGAAAGGAATCGGTCAACAATGTTGACGGCGATCCAGAGGGTCTCGGGAAGCATGTGGTATCGGAGGTGAACCTGGAGAAGCCAGTCGATGAGTGTTGTCCTCATGGTCCTGTCAATAGAGTCAGCCATGTTGAACGACAATGTGAATCAGATCAACGCACCACTCAATCTCGGTCTGGAAGTCCATGTACCTCGGGTTGGGCATGACAGACTCCTCGAGCATCTCCATGTGGCCAAAGATCTCGTCGGCGTACTCGGCAACCATGGTGGTGTCAAACATGTCGACCTCGTCTTTGAAGGTTGCTTGGATCACATCCAGCTGTTCTTGTGCTCTGATCGCGTCCTCTTCGGGCATCCTCAACCAGTCCTCCTCGTCCTCCTCCTCCATGTCATCCTCCTCAGAGTCTTCGTCCAAGTACTCTTCCTCGACGGTGTCGATGCCTTGAGGGACAGAGAGAGCCTGCTGTCGCCGAGAGTCGACCTCCATTGGCAGGTCGTCTTCAAGAGAAAGTTTGCTGTCGAGTGAAGAGTAGATGGGGGCGGAGGTCTTTGACCGGGAAGGGATAGCAGCGATGGGTCGTGTAGACTGCGCATTGTTGGTGCGAGAGGCGAGAGGTTGACGGGTCTCGGCGACAGTCTTGCCAGCGGCGGCTTTCACTGACAGAAGGTGGTTGGCTGACGATCAACAAGTTGAGTGACAAACAACTTACGAGGCTTCTTGCCTTCAGCACCTTCTTCCTTTGCATTGACCACCACACCGCCAAGCGCTGTTCTCTTTGCACCGACCTTGGCCGCGACAGGCTTCTTGCCAGCGGCGGCAGAGGAAGTCCCCGAGACGACAGCCTTCTGGGCCGGGCCGAAGTTGGACAGGGAAGGCTTGTTGCGGATGGACGGCTGAGGGGCGGCATTCTCGTCGTTGCGAGAACGAGTGGCAGGTCGGCGGGTGACAGGGTTCTGGAGTGGGATATCAGCAAACATGTACATGTTTGGTGTTTGTGTGGGCGAGTGGAGACGTGAGAAGGGGGGTGAGATGGATATACAACGTACTCGGGAGGCCATGTTGGATATCTGAAACAGAGGAGAGAGGATGTTGTGAGAGTTGCGGTGCTAGACGGACGTCTGACAAGTTGGATGAAATCGGAAGGGAGGAGGATGTGTGTGTTGGAGTGTTGTCACCAAACAGAGGCCGTCACTGGTAAAGATACGGAGAGCGGGTCGCTGGCGATGTAGGCTGTTGTAGGATATGAGGGGATGCG